TTCAAATTTACTAAATGTATTTATATAATAGAGTTGTAAATATCATTAAGAAATATTTAAAAAAAGTAATATAATTGATGTTAAAAAAAAAAAAATAGATAGACTGTTTATGAATTTAATGCTCTATACCTTTACTTTGACCGAGTCCGAGTTTTGAAACCTCCAATTTTTTTAAAACTTTTATTTGAATTTGGTATTCGTTACTTGTTGAAATTCCCTTTCGTAAATACCTTTTTCATCAAAATCTTCTTAAGTGCCGGAAAAGGGATTATATTAGAGTAGATTTTTTTTTATTTTTAAAGATTTGTAAAACGTAAATATAATATTAATATTGACTAATTTCTCCGACTATCAAGAATATACATTCTCAAATGAATGTTGGAATCAAACGTCGTCTTTAAGAATGAGAAATGTGAAATCAATAATGATTTAAATTAATGATTACCCAGCATCATGACTTGAGCAACATGATTTATTTATAAGCAATGATTAATTCACTCATGGCTCCATTGATTGTAATTAATCAGTTCACTATGGCCCAGAAAATTTTAATTTACACTACTATTATTTAAATTATGTTACTTGTTATTTTGGTATCTTTCATTGTTTCTTTCTGCACGATTCTACTATCATAGACAATATGAATATTTAAATTAAATCCTTGTTCTTTTCTAGTCAAAACAATAACATGTCAGTTTAGTTAAATTTCTACAAGCACATTTTTTGTTGTTTTCATTTTTTCTCTTACAGCCCTCTATACTGAGATAAAGGATTGTAAATTTGCATGTGGACTGTTTTAGATGTTATATTTTCTTACCTAAATGTTTTGTCTTATAACGTTTTTTTGATACTAATGAACTTCTTATTGTTGTTATAAATAAATAATATCGATTGTGAAAATATTTATTTGGAAAGAAATAGCCTTGAAATGGATACAAGTTTTAATTAAGGACCACTTTGTCGAAGCCATTAATAGAGTTTTCCTTTAATTTAAGTCTCGATTAATCATCTTTTCTTATTCCATGATCGATTCTTGCTATTGCACCAAGTTACTAAGCAGGTTCCCATGGAAACGGGAGTAGATTGTTCAATACATTTTTCTAAATTAACCTAAATACTTTTATTCGAGCATAACTAGAAGAAAATCAAATCTTTCTGGAGTTAGCAATAGTATCGATAGTTTTTTAGGCGCTATAAATTATTTTGAAAGAAATAAAAAGTTTATTTGTATGAAAACTGGATACCGAAAACAAGACCAATCTCTTTTATTATCTAATATTTTTATTTGACCAACTTCACTAAAATCGACTGAAATGTTTTTTGGACTTATCAGTAGTCTAAGCTCATTGAAATCTCTTGAGTTCGTTATTTTTTTTTTATCAAAATGATAAAATAAAATAATGTTTTAAGAAAATGTAACTTAAATAATTGAAAAAAAAATATTTTTTTTAAGTTACTTATTTTTCTGGCTTCTAAGAATAATAGTGTACGGTACACTTATTTTTATTAAATTATTAAAATCCCTCTGAAAGTTCGTAAATAGCTTGATTTTATCGTAACTTACAAATTTTTTATCAAAGAAAATTCTCAAAAAATGGAGCGTTTTCTCATTAAATTAATTAATTTAATGTTAAAAACTCATAAATACTTATTTGCTTTCTAGTTGAATCATAAGATATTATGGTCATAAAATCGAGAAAAATAAGTGACCTGCAAATATATTAGGCCACTTAGCTTATATAACCTCGTTATTTTGACATGTTGGGAATAGAAGTCATGTCAAATGGCCCAATATTTTTGTAGGCCTCAGATTGAAAATGTTCCAATTCCGAGAATTTTCGTAAATAAAAAAGTTGTGGGTTACGATGAGAAGAAGCTATACAGGAATTTTAAGGCAGATGTTAATAATTTGATAAAAACGTGTCTGTACCACGGGCAAACAATGCACGCTCAATACTTTTTAATCAGTAACACCAAAAAACAATTTTGTTAAAATAAATCAGTCATTCAATATCTTATTTGACTATAATTAGTCAATTATTGATGGGTAAATTACTTTAATCCATGTATGTTGTATTTTTTTGTTATTTCTACCGTTGAAATAAAAGTCGAAGAGGAAAATAATGATCAGACAATTAAAATCATTATCAGAATATTAAATTACTTTTTCTTCAGAATTAAAATTATATAAAATTTAAGAATTATAATATGTATAAGAGTGATATAAGTTAAAAAAAAAAAAGAACAGATACATAATTGCAATGCCAAACATATTTTCATGTGCAAGGACGTAAGAGAATATAAGTATAAATTATAATATTCCTTATTAAATTAATACTTTTCAGTCATGGAAAGTTTCCATTTCGAATTATTTTAACACCTCGATCTCAAGGAACGAGACGTTATAGAACGGCAAGATAAGTTGGCCACCGCTGGATAAGGTTACTGGAGTCAAGTGATATTTAGGATGAGGACTGGATCCTTTCCAGCGGGATCTGGAATTTTTATTTATTGCAACTGGTTTTTCACTTTTGTAGGTTAACTATAAAACCCTATATGTGAAGAAATGATACGGTGTGAGTTGTGAAAATATATTCATTCTTAAATAACTTTAATTAATCTAGAATTAAATACGAAATTATAAATTCAAGATTAATATTGAATATATAATAGTTGACCGTTGTATTATAAAGGAAGGGGATGGTCCGAGGAGGCGGTCATAAATAGGTTAAATAGTGGCAAAATTATTTTATTATTTTGTAATTTTTTATGTTTTTCTCCATTACCCAAACAAGTCAGCAAATTCCCCAATATCTACCCTTACCATGATTTTCCAGTTCTAAGTGAAACTCCTAGCTGAACACACCTGTAAGTCTCTATTGTTATTCTTCTAATTTTATTTTTTTATTTTTTTTTGGTTCCTTTTTTCTTTTCTTTCAATCTCTCCTGTAGATCTGTAGAAGTATATTCACATTTACATATATTATATATTACATTACAACAATTGTTATCACCTATTTACTTCAGTTTAGGATCTTGTTAATTAGCTTAGTCTGTTTACATTTTAATGTACTTACTGTTTATAATTTTAATGAGCTTATACACATTGTTTATAATTTTTTGTCTAAATATTATGTGACTTCCACAATTCTCGTATCTTTTTGTATCTTGTCCGTTCTAGCCCTGAAGAAGACTTGCAAAGTCGGGTCGAAACGTTGGCTTTTAATAAAATAGTTTTGCCACTATTTAGCCTATTTATGACCGCCACCCCGGACCATCTCCATCCTTTATAAATTCAAAATATTTTATTTTGAAAATTCCCTTATGAATCGGTACATATTTCGGTTAAAAAAAATTATTGGGGTTCACTTTGGACATAAACTACTCAATTGAAAATTTCAATATTTTTTTTTTTTAAATATACCTTATTGAACATTTAAAAAATATATAATTTCGTCTAAGACAGTTTTGCTTGCTCTCATGTCATACGACACATCTTTGTGTACCGTCGTTAAAAAAAATAAAGAAATTCCAAAATTTGAAAGCCAAGAAATATATGAATTTTTGCTTCAAGTCAATTCGTTAGTGGTTTATATTATACTAGTTGGCCCGTGCGAAAAATTCGCAGATAATTTTGTTTAGTGAAGAAATATTAAAACAATATGGAAATAAGTAGTTCCTATGTATTATGTTAGGAAGGAATTAATATTTTTTCATTGTCGATTATAATATTCCATTAAACATAACAGACCAAAATATTTATACAAATTGCTTTGCTAGAACCTATTTTTAAACGCTGACTGGAAAGATAATAAAAGTAATAAAGACAAAATCATGCCACGATCATAGGGTATTCTAAATTATTTAAAAAAATAAAATGTAAGAACAACCAAATGTCTTTAAAAAATAATTAAGTTAATATAAAAGCAAGGAAAAAAAGTGTAGTAGACTATTCTACTCCTAAATGCGATGTCTTTAAACAGGAAGACATTATTGAATATAAACAAACTAATGGACTGTATCTTTGTTAATAATTGTCCGAATTTAACGATTATTTTCTGTTTTGTAGGTAATTTAGGATTCTTTCTAATTATAATGAGTACAATCCAGAGACGAATGCATACTTTTCGAGTTATTCGCAAATAAAGTTTCTTTTCTTCCATAACTATTTTCCCAGAAATTTCGGGGGGATAGGACTATTTTTCACCTGAAAAGAAGCAGAATATCTTCAAAATGAGTGGTCAACCATTGGATTTGATGAAGAATTGACGAAATTATGGCATACCGACAAAAAAACACCTTTTAGAAATAATATATAGGATTAGTTGAGAATTAATAACAACCTACTGAAATTAATGTCAATCTAAAAAAAAATAATGCGATATTTGGAATACTTTCAATAAAACAACGAAAACTTATTTAAGATTCAATATTCTTTCACTGGCTAGGCTGTTTATCTTCAGAAGACGGGATATGAAAATATGGAAAAGCCCCAAGGGTCAACTTCCTAGTCACAATAGATGTACATCTGTTTATGTGCCAGCACATATATTACCAAGGCGCATATATCGGCGAGGAGATGTTTTCTACCGAAATGGAAATCGTTCGTCCACCTGTTACACGTGCTGGTTCCAATATTGAAGGTATTATCACTGATAACATCAATAGAATGAATTGAATTACATCTGAATTGTATTTTCCTGGTTCGGAATCAAAAGCATGATTAATTCCGAATATTTGTTAGCTCAAATATGAGAATGAAAACAATGCCGCTCATATTATTAACCGTTGTTAATTAATGATAAATTAATTGGAAAACTTGGGTATGGAAAGGATTCAGCAACAGAATATGGTGGAATCTATTATTTTGGACTCGCTTGGAATCCTTTCTGTAACCTTTATTAATTCTGCTCACTTCGTTATGAATTTTTAATTTAATTTCTTGTGGATCAGAATCCATTTAATAAAAAAAAAAATATTAATCAATTGACCTTATAAATATGGGTCTCAAAACTTCCGCATCGCTAGAAGCCCTTGACACAAGGTATGGAAAAAACCCAAAACCACCGAAAAATACTTCTTAAGATTGATTGTAGATTAAATAAATACATCATTCAATTGATATCCACGACTTAAGGACATGATGTTAGATGCAAACAACAAATTTTTGTTTTGTCCTTTGGTCGCTTAAATTTGTTACATTTTTTTCAATAGTTAAATTTACGAAAATTTATATATTATCAAGGATGTAATATCCGAAAATAAATTACCTGATAATATAAATTATACAAAAAAAAAATCCTTTTGATTTAGTGTATTCACTGTATTAGTACTGAGTAATAAAATGTTTAAAATATATAATTTACGTGACATATTACTGAAAGCATCCAAGTTCTAACATATTATTAAGATGTTACTAATAAATCTCCTAAGAATCGCTTTCTATATATTTTATGTAATATATATTGATACTCTAAGTCTAAATAAATATCACTAAATCATTTAATGACTTATTTTATTGTGCATCATTTTTCATTTAGTGAATTTTGCTCAACCTGCTTCCGTGTCCAATAGGCTTAATCCTGCTTGGAGTACCTGAAAAAGGTTCGAAACTAATTGGAAGTCATTTTTAGAATTTGAAAACCAACTCGAGTTATTTCATATTACTCCTGATGTTGAACGAACTAACCGACTAACTTTGCACAAATTAAAACTATTATGAAGTGACGTCGAGTAAGAGAGTCGGAAAGGGAAAAATATAGCGTAAAACACAAAACAAATAATAATGACTATTTGGAAATTTGGACTTTAATATCACATGTGTTTTAATTCGATTTTCAGTTGCACTCGATAATGATTCGATAAATAACTGGCTCCCGTTACAGAACAGGTATTAAAAAAATTAAGGAGTTTTTGATGGATATTTATTTAACAAATAAATTCTAATCAAAAGTATTCATCACATATTTCAGTTATTATATACCTATTGTATAATTTTACGAGTATTAGTCCATGGTAAAGACCCCTTTTTATCAACTTATTAACATCCGCCTGAAACTTCGTAAATAGCTTCATCATATCGTAAGCTATAAGTATTTTAATTTTTGCCGACGTTTCGACCCACTTTGCAGGTCCTCTTCAGGGCGTAGGATGTATCACTGCAGGAGGCAGTTGAAACACTCAGTGTTTCAATTATTCGTTAACAACATCCATGTATTTATTTTCTTTATCTGTTAACCCACAGTTATCTAATGTAATCTCTATTAGTTTATTATACACCTATTCTTTTATCGAAGTGTTTCAACTGCCTCCCGCAGTGCTACATCCTACGCCCTGCAAAGTGGGTCGAAACGTCGGCAAAAATTAAAATAATTAATACATTTTAATTTATTATTTGTTTGACCGCACCCTCGACTAACTCCTCATATTATATCAACGGTAAACCATCATCTATAAGTATTTTATTTACGAAAATTCTCGGAATTGGGGCGTTTCCAATCTGGAGGTCGCCAAACTGTGTCTATTTAATTATTTACTAAAAAGTCATAATGACATAATTGCTTTGCTCTTCAATCGTAACATAAATTGAACACAAAACCGAGAATAAAGGTGGCCTTCAATAATATTGAGACGTTTGGCGAGACCAAAATCTTCAATATATCAAAATAACGAGATAATTTTTAAGATCACATTTTTTCTAGATTTTATTCTCAAATTATCTTATGATAGAAAAGGTAAGCAATTAGGTATTTACGAGTCTTTAGTAAATAATTAAATAGACAAAGTTTGCCCCCCTTCAGATTGAAAACGCCCCAATTCCGAGAATGTTGGTAAATAAAATAGTCGTGAATGAGATGAAGCTATTTACGAAGTTTCAGGCAGATGTTAATAATTTGATAAAAAGGGGTCTGTACCACGAACTATATGATACAAATTACGATCGGTCAGAGCAAAATTTTTCTGGAGTAATTTGTACACAATTATTACTTTGTGAATATAGAACAAAAAAAAAATAAAATTTATATTATTAATCCCGCCTTGTTGATGTTTTTATTTCTATCGTGTAGTCTGAAGCACACACCGTAGAGTTTTTTTTTTTTAAACCAAGATAGTATTTTTATAAATATTTATAATATATATATTTTTTTATTATAAAAATAATTGATGACTACAATCAGGAGAAGACATTATTGGGAACACAAGAAGCCGTATGCCTTGCCCTTTGGGATAACATTCAAACAAGGCCAACACCATTCCGTTATATCCACGTCTCCTTTTATTTTATATTTATCAGAGTCGACCACGTGTTCCGCCCCTCCCGTATCTTTCGTCCTTTCTTTCATTATCTCCTTCCTCCTTACGCAACTTCGGCTCCGACTAACAACAGGTCTACGAAACACGTAGCTCTGACCACTTCTCGGTTGCGTATTCATATTCAGGTCCAAATTGATATTCATAACCGATAATTGTACGGTACACACAGAAAAAAAATTTCAATATTAAATTGCCGCACATATTTCAAAATTTTCAAGACACGTTGCGGGTTCGTCATATGATATATTTTCCTCCTTCACGCGGCTGTCGACTAAATGATTTGACCACGAGAAGGGAAAAAAAATGATCTCTTGTCGACAGAAACAAAATTTGTTCAGAGTGTAATTATGCAATGAAATTCTAGAATAATTTTTGCAACGAAAACCACAATATCTTGAGAAAAAAAACCTTAAGACAAATGAGTTGAAACCACACACAGTTTGAATTTCAGTTATATATAAATGGCTGCCTTACAAATGAACTTATTTCGAGTAATGTAGTTTACAGTCTGTCAAATAGTATTAATAATTAATTAGCCATTTATATAGCACAATCCACATTAATAGTTTAAATGGGGGTTTAAACTTTTATATAAATTTTTTTACAAAAGTTCTATTTTAACTGATGGACTTCAACTTCAAACTTCATTGTTCCTTTTTACTCTACATTGCTCAATTTATTCTACATATTTATTTACTATTTAAAATTCAAAAATTCATAAGATGGATATTTCCTTAATATTTTAAAGTTTTTGTTCCTCAAAAACAGATATTGAAATCGATAATTAAAAAATATAATTCAATTTTGATCAAAATTTTTAAAAATCATTTGATGAATTTTATTACGAACGATTTTTATTTTTGATCATAAGTGATAAAAATAATATTCAGATCATTAATTTGAACACAATTTTTAAAATTAACAATAATCTTAATTCTTGAGGAATATTTTTTAAATCAGAAATTTCTAATCTCAATGATATATTTTGAGTAGGTAGAGAATCTTGTTGTGAACTATATATATATATATATTTTTATTTGATAAACATTTTTTTATCAGAATTAATTCATTATTATTTTCGTAAAACTGTATCAATCAGTAATCATTATTTTAAAACTAATAAATAAAAAAAAAATCGGTTTAAATTTATCAGGATTTTAAAATAAATAGTCAAATATAATTTTTTTTTAGACATTATTTTATTTTTCTCTTATTTTTCATTGTTTTATTCTGTGTTAAACGTAAATTTTCATTATCACTCACTACGCATTGTGAGTAGATAAAATTTGTTTTTCTTAATTTCTAATTTTTCTATTCATGAAATTGTATTTCGTTGAAATGTATTTTATTTTCTAATGATCTTCAACACACTCCTCGCTATGTGTGTATTTACACTTTACACTTTATTTTATTACATTTTTAATTACACTTTATTTTATTTTTTCTTCTCCTATTCTTTACGCATCATCACTTAAATATCTTAAGGAACATAAGTATATCATTTTTTTTGTTTTTACAATTTCTTTCTTTGCATATTAACAGTTATTATTATTTTTTAATTTTTATATTCCATCTCTACGTTCCTTTCTAATTTCATTCAGTGATAATTATGCTATTGTTTTAGCTCCAATATTGTAGTACTGAACCCCTATTACCCAACTATTCTCGTTAATTTATCTTAAGAGCTTAATGAATACTTAATTTATTACTAGTATTTTGTTATTATTCATTGTAATAAGTATTTTGGCCAGATTTATGGTTAATTTATATTAACAATACTGTTATTCTAAAGGGACCTAGAATAAAGATGATTTTTCTATTTCTATAATAATTATTACGTGGTTTAGAGATAATAATAATAATCGATTTAAAACCCTGCACAAAACCAGTTAATTCTTTGAATCAAAGAATAGACGTTAAGAATATGGCCGAAAATATACTTTTAGTCTTTAAAATGGTCTAAAATTAGTTAAAACATTTAATTAGTATTACAATACGTTTCTTACCTAGTAGCGCTAAGAGAATAAAATTAAGTTTATTTACATACCTCTACTTAAAACCAAATAATTTCAGGGAAAAAAAAGAAGTTTGTAATCGTTTTTAAGATACACATTTATCTCTCAGTAAATTATTCTGAAATAATCTTTTAAAACACGGCCTTGGGTCTCATCTTGAGAAGTCAATTAACAAATATTTTGACATGTGTCATTTACTTGAGGAATGAAGGCGCAATTACACAAATTAGCAGTTCGGTAACGATTAGCTCAGAATAGAAATCGATTTCTAGCCATTCAGTAATGAATGGCAATGTAAACAATACTTTCTGGTAAAAGTGAGAATCGTTTGGGTGGGATTTGTGATGTAAATCAGGGTGACTCATCGGTGGCTCAAATGGCTGAATCATTGTCTGTAGTCTGAGGCGTGTTTTTGTTTTGAGAAATACCGAACGCATACCGATGGAGAATGATTTAGGTCTCTGGTATTGAAATATACTATGTTTAATTTTAGGCAATAACTGAATTTACATAACAAATCTTAAATATATATATAAAAATGAATGTATGAAGACTGAAAACGCCTAATTCCGAGAATTTTCGTAAATAAAATATTGGTAGGTTACAATTAGATGAACATATTTACGAAGTTTCAGGCTGATGTTAATAATTTAAAAAAAAAAAGGATCTGTGCCACGATCTAGTATACCACTACGTTATTCAGCGAATCAAATTGCAGTTATTGAATTATGGTCAATGATCGAGGAATCTACCAATGAAACTGATGCACCGCTAACCTGAATCCCAGCCAATAGCAGCTCCCGTTACATCATTGTCATTAACTCGAATATTCCTGATAGACCTTTCGTAACATGTTGCGATATACAACCTTACCAAACCGTCGATTTAAATAACCACGTCCGTGAGAGCATGCGTAGAATAGCCGGTTCGATGAGATTAAAAAAAAAAAAAAAAAAATTAAATAAAGTGTCCAGTCGTCCTTGCGATGCACCTCCATAAATTGTGGGAATGGAGATGAGCTAAAGGTCAGCCGGCCAGATCCTGAGCGAAGGTCCCATGTTATGTAACGGGACTGGTACAGGTCCCAGATCTGGGGTCACCGCGGTAACTGGGACAGCCGTCTGTCGAAACTGCGGTGGAAGCGGCCAAGGGTACCGTCTGCGGGGCGCAACATTCGTCTGGGAGCTGGAGTGCGTTGTGTTGACGATTCGGAGTATCCAGGTTGTGATAAGAATGGATTCGTGTTTGCGCTGTACGTAAGCAAAAGTGGGAAATGGAATTTGAAAAAAATTTAAATAGTTGGACCTAATTGAACGATCTATTAAAAAAAAAAAAAAAAAGCTGCAAATTATTTCACAATGGTTCCAAACAATTATATATCTAAAGTAACATTACCTTCCTAGTGACAAAGAAAAATAAATAAAAGGTGATACCAATTATTGGACTAAACGTTTTTACTTTCCTACCTATACTAGGTAAGGAAAGTATTGCAATCGGGTCAAATTTCCGACATGCGGTTCTCGACGGATCAATACGTTTCAGAGCCTCTCGAGTCCGAAAATCACATTTTTAGCCATTGGTCTGTCTGTCTGTCTGTGCCAAGATTTTCTCGGGACTACTAAACCGATTTTGTTGCTTCTTTTTTTATTTTGTAGGGTTTTGACTACTGATGCCTGTGACAGAAATTCAGTGTTCCATGCTCAAATTGCGCGCAATAAATGAAAAACATGTTTTTCTAAAGACTGTAGCACAAAATACCGGTCGTTTAGCATGTCTTTTGAAAGGTAATTAAGTCCCCTACAAAACTATATAAAAATCGTTAATTTTGGACAACTATTAACCAACTTATAACTATTCAATTTCCAATGTAAGATTACGGTTTCATATCATGGTGTCAGAAAGGGGTGAATGAGAGAATAAAGATGACTAAGTGAAAGTAAGAAAATCTATTGCCCGCATCACACAATGTTCATTATTTTCTCTACTTTCAACAGAAATTATTGTTTGACAATTCTAAGCTATAGAAAAAAGTTTTGGATCAGCAATATTAGAAAGCATTGAAATTTTTACACTGATCTACCTTAAGTTGGTTTACATTGCTTTAGTTTATCATATAAATCGTACTCTCAAATCTTATGTTTGATCAATTTTCAGGAAAATATATCTAGTTCAATTTTTTTTTTGTTTCTTCATTAACATATGTAAAGACATAAAAACTTTTCTGAAATAGGTAGGAAAGTCGTGTGAGTGAATACACCAAATATTTGTTTGATCATTAGTAATATGCTAAAAAAAATAGCAGTACTTCAGTAACACATTCAAAATTTAAAAAATCAAACAAAGAATATAACGTTAGGAGCAGAATATAAAAAAAAAAAAAAAAAAAACCGGAGATCATATCATCTTTATTCCTAATTGTCCGTTTTTTTTTTTTTTTATTTGTTAGGAAATTTCGTAAACTTTAAAAAAAACAGATATATCTACTAATAGTGCTTTAAATTTCGATGAAACTTCCTTCATTTTTTAGGAAATTTAAATACCTTTAAAACATCTTCTCACAATGCCGACAAAAAAGTATAAACTTTCTGAGTTATTCGGAATTTAATTCTACCATCCTTCGTAACTTTTTTTCTAGCTTTTTTTCGTTGAAGTATTTTATATAGATAAATTGAAAGAGTATCGAGAAAATGACTTCAGCGAAGTTTCATGGAAATCGGTACATTCGTTTAGGAACTACAGTCCATAGCAACGCAGGTTTTTCGGCCGTCATTTTTGAAAGTAAAAGGCGGATAGTAATGTCGATAAAGGAGGATCATTCTCGGGTGACCTCTGATTTTATATCAAAATTTGAAAAAAATCGGTCCAGTAGTTTCGGAGAAATATGCGGACGGCGGATAGACAAAAAAATTTTTATTCGGTTTTTGAACTCTACGCATCCTGAAACATGAACTCTTAAATTTTGAGAGGGGGTTAAGTTTTTGAATTTTTTGGTCGATCACAATGGTTGATTATTGAAAATAATAAACCAAAAAACATATATGAGTATAATAATAAGTTTAGGTATCCGCAAATACGCAAACAGAACTAAAAGATGGAATTGGATGAATTAAACATCGAGAGTAGGGTTGGGATATCGA